AATGAGAAACCTGCAGTGCTGAATCCCGTAAATCAATCCCTCGAGCACTAACTAGAGCACTAAGAAAAGAATTTAAGAGCCGATAAACTGTTTGAAGTCAAAAAAGTGGGATTTGAAAGAATCGAAGAGGTAAATAAGCCTTGCTGTTGACGACTATGACACTTACCAAGGGCAGCATTGGCCGAGTTAAAAATCGGTTGGAGGAAAAAACTTGATCACGTACATTGACCGGCCGCAAGTCGACGCCATACTAAACTGTACAGCTGGGCGTCTGGGTCTTCGCGTCTAAGACGATCAGATTGCCACTACATGAGCAGTATGTTACGTAACTGGCATAAAAGCAGAACAAGCAAACCGTATTCGGCTTTCTGCACTCCTCCGTCAGTGGGATTTTTTGTGTCTTTCCGTGCCTTTCAGTTTCTTTGCTCTCTCTCTTACAGAGTAGCCATCTTGTATTCGTTTCGTGTGGAAATATTATGGTCAGTTGAAGTTACCTATTCTTGTTCACCAGAAGAGTCATATAATCTTCCGCAACCATAAGATGGGATGAGTTTACATTTGAATCTATCGTCCGTGTGTACGTACACTATTGTTTTAGAGTATTGGCTTACCTCCAGCTCCTTTTCCCATCCCATCTGTCGTATCACGTTCTAAGTAAATAAATCATTTATTAGCTAAGTCCGTGTATTGGAAGGAATCTAATAAACTGTTTTCAAATACTGCACCAAATTACACAGTCCCTGAATAAGGATAGAGGAATTAAAAAAGTTCAATTAGTGTGGTAGCATTTAATGCAATGACCTAGGCAGAAGGCTGCAGCCTCCAGATTGGAAGTCAGAATGATTAACGTGGGCGTTAAACTGCTCATTAGCTCTAATATACAGCCTAAGATTATTAAGAATAGGTTAGGTGAAACACTTCACTTTTTAGACTCTAAATGTCACAATTTGTTTAGAAAACGGAATTCTGCTACGTCAAAGGTTGTACGTTTGGTCAACTAAGAAACGATAGCGCCTAGTGAGAACGCCTCCGACAGTTGTAAAGTTTTGGAGGAAACCCAGCATATTCTAGCAAAATTGAAACTACTCAAGGATTACTACTTACCTTCCACTAAAAAACTAAGCAAAAAATAAAAAATGAAAAGAAAAGAAAATCTGATTTGAATTATTAGTAAAGTCTCCGTCTCTGCAAGATCCTCCTAAATTGTTTCAAAAATATCAGAAACCTGAGTGTCCTCAACAGAGAATCAGAAGATTAGGGAGGTTTATTTATGTCGAGATTTTTCAATTGTGGCGACCGTGGTAAGCTTGCGGTTAACGGGATTGGATGGATGCATAAGAGGTCTTTGGTACGCTTCCTTAATAATCGATTTCGCTATCGTTTCATGATAAGAAAGCAACGGTGGTTCCTCAGCTAACTCTTTTGAATTGTTTTCTAGTCTCCTACCCATTTTAAACTTTTTCCACTGCTGTAGATGCCTAATCTCCTCATAGACTCCTGAGTTCTTTCTGACTTTTTATTGTTAGAATAGTACCTGAAATAAATACTTTGACACGGCTCCACAGTAATGTTTGTTGCTATCACTTTTTCAAAAACGGTTACGGTTCTTGAATATTGCACTTTATCTAGGACCTCAAAAAGTTGTGTTTTTCTTTCAAATTTCTCTCATTATTTTAATGAAACCTAACCTGTACCCTGTAAATAATTTTAATTTTGACAGGATGCGTAAAAGTTTCCACCACATTATTGTAACCGTTGCAGACATCCTCAATGGAACTTGTTGCTTCTAAGTTAGCCCACCTTATAGCCTTAAACGGGTAAATTAGATAGATTTCGCTTTCCGAGTGAATGATGATATTCAATGCCAAAAAACTAAGAAATTTTACTCAACAAACTCAAGCAGTAATTTAGAGTTGGTATGCACTTTAAAAAGCACGTAAGTCGGTCTGATTTCTAATCAGTAGAATGCAAGTTTCGCCTTTGCTTAGACAACCGACTCAAGTACCACAAAACTAATTAAATTCTCTCATTCTCCTAACCTCCCTTCAGACTCTTTAATGTGCTACAGCATTTAAAACAAGTTGTGAGAATCCTACGAAGACACAGATTCATTGATGAACAAAGTACTCAAGATGTGGTATGAAAAATAAATGAAAGGAAAAAAGAGATCAGTAAAGGCATTAAAGCAGTAATATACCTACACACAGATGACAAATCCAAATTTAAAATTCCTTATCTTTTAGTGCCGAGAAATCTCGTAACTCTGCTGATAACGATCAAAACAGGAGCAGATGACTTGAACTCACAATAATATGCTCACGCAACGAGAATAGCACATAGCCATTTTGTGGCAGGACAAACTACGGAACTTAACGACGAAAAAATACATAAAGAACCTTATTGACAAAAATATTTATTGAGATTTAATAAAGCTGAACAAAGCTTCTTTGCTTTGCCTTGATGCCAGTTATCTGACAAGCTCGTTAGCTTATGTAGCGGCAGTCTGATCGCTCTAAACGCCTAGATCTAGACATCGGGCCATGCAATGTAAAATAGCACTGACATCAGGCCGGTCGAAGTACGTAGTCAAACCATCAACCATTCACTTATCCGACTCGGCAAGCACTGCCCTTGATAACTGTTTTTACTTTTGTCAACGTTAACACAGCATCGTTGTAGTAAAGTGAAAATTCGTTTAAAGCAATAATCTTTTTGTCACTTAATGATAAATCGGCTTTTTCAGCTACTTCAACCTTCGTACCCGAAACAACTTGCTAAAAACAAAGGAAGTTTCTTTTTGTTTTAACAGCGTGACACCAACCTTCTCAAAATTCCGCCAAGCACAGACGCGTTGAGGCATTCAGGAGGAGACAAGCGTCGATTAATCTCACCAACGGTAACCTTGTATTTTGCAGCGCTGCTCAACAAGCTTAGCCTGCCTGTAAGGACAAATAAAAACGTCCTTCTTATAACAAATAAAAATGCTTTTGTTAGTACTCAAGAGGCGTTTTGTACGTGTTAAAATCAGAATATAATCTGTTAAAATAACGGTCGACAACTTGCAAAAGAATTAAGAAAAACAGTGATCGAACCTGGCACAGAGCAAAAAACCTCCAGATGATTTGGAGTTGGAGAAGCTTGGTCATGATGTAATAGTTGGTTGCTATGACCATTACCACTTCCACATGAGGCTTCGGCTGCCTTCTGCCTCAAACTTACTGCTAAAATATTAATCCAAAAATAATACCTTGTTAAGTCTAACTTAAATTTGAAAACTAGAATTTAGCAAACATTTAGTTGGGTATGAGGAAAAGCTCATATAAAAATCAAGTTTGACTTCAGTTTGTTCGCTCCAAATTACGTCAAAAAGCTACCTTTTCGAATAACTCCGCACTGTTCTGCAACGCTTGACTGCTCCGAAGACTGGTTGCTGATTTCCTCAAATACAAAACCTTATTTTCTTTAGTTACTTCATGTGAAAAAGTAATTTAAAGTTTGGAGACAAAATCTCAAAAACTTAGACGTAACGAGTGTTTACTAATATCAGTAAATGGTTTTAACTACAAAAAATTAAAGAAATACCCCGTCACTTTGAGAATCTGCAACAAGTTGTTGTCTTTGTTGCTGAAGTAACATGGATTGCAAGTGCGGCTGAAGGATGTTTGGCTGAGAATTATTCTGTTGCTGCAGCTGCTGCTCAAAAACTTGCTGTGACCTGCTGGGTAGCATTATGTAATCTCTGTTCGCTCCCATCTAAACATTGTCAATTTATTCAGAAGGATGCTAAACGGTTTGAAACGGTTTACTTCTAAAATAATTTAAGTAATAATTCATTTATGACAGATTTCAAAACTCTAACAAAAAAGGCTTCTCATATTTGAACATATTTTTTGGCTTAAAAATTTTTATCAGCCACACAAATTTTTTTATTTTCACGTAGTCAGAGATACGCATAGCTTCGCTCTTAATTTGTTCATCATCTGTCTAGTTATTACAAAATCAACGTATTTATAACTTGGGTCTTCTGAGAAAACTAGTTCTTGGCTTTTTGCTAGCATCCCAGTTAATTTTTTGTTATCTTCTGGTTCCGAATTCTGATATGAGAACAAACATCTTTGACTTTTCAGAATACCGCCCAAAAGAGCCGTATAAACTACTGAAAGAATGAACCAGAAAAGTTTTTATCAAAAGCTAAATTGAAAATCACTGAAGATCACTAACTGATTGTTCAAAAAGTTGATCTAAATCACAGATTGAAGCAAATCACTTATCAGCGGATGCTAAAGACTTCTCTTGTGATAATACCTCACGAAAATGGTCCAAATTAATCAAAAAAATAGTATCCATGGGTTGACAGGTTAGGTAATGGCATCTTGCGGAACCGCGATGAAGTATTTATAATTAGAAAGTAGTTAAAAGTGCAGCTAATGTTGTTCTTTTAAGGTTTCGAAAGTTTAGAATAAACAGTGGCTTTATGTAAGCCTTTGCTACATACACTATTCTATCATGATTACCTTTATACTAAGCGATTCTCCTCCTGACCTCCTATAGAATAAAACCTCCATTTACAAGACGTTTTCTTCATTGAAGGACATAGTCATCAAGAGTACGATATTTATATAACTGAATCACCCCACGCTCTCTACCTGTTTTCTCTGCTGGGAAATAGTTCAGTAAAAAAAAGGACTCTTAAAATCCCTAACCTGCTCGCAAGTTAATAGGCGATCAAAAAAATTTACTGAAGTTCTAATGAACTTTATGTTTTCTTGACTTCCGCAGACCTGCGACTTATTCTGACGGAATAACTCGGTTATCGTCAAGACTCTGGCAAGTATAAACCGGTCCTTCGCAATCAGACAGTACTGCTATGTCCTCTAATGACTAGAAGCAAAACCACCCGTACTTTAATCTAACTAATCTTTTTCGGTCACGACCAGTGTATATTGAAGTAACCGTACAAAAGTATAACTGGTTAAAACTTGTGCATCCAACTTCTCCAGAAATTTCAGTAAGCTGTACGTCACTTTTTGAGAAAGTATGAAACAAAAAGAGCTTTGTCCAATAAAATTTTGTTGCACGAAGAATTTTGACGTTTAAAACTGGATGTATATGAGAATTGTGCATGCCAGTTACAGTATAAACTGGACAAGTTATCAAGTTCAAAATGGCAGTAAGAAGCAACCTCTTAGAAGAAATCGCGAGTTTATATTGGTGCACTCATTCGAACAAGAAGTACATTTTAAAAACAATACTTAACTTAGACGAATAGAAGTAGAAAGCTATTTCAGCTGAATGAAAATCTGTTAAGACACTATGTATCTTCTTTTTCAAAGGAAATGAGAATTTGCAAATTTTCCCAGAGCTTTATAGTGCTTCTATATGTACTAGTCAACCGATTCCGTTTTGCATCATTCCGACAATTACGGTTTTCTCTACACTTCTCATTCTGTTATATTTTTAAACGGCATTTTCAATGTAGCTATTGATTTTGAATCACACTAACAACTCTAACAAACAAAAAATTACAGCTTCACTGAGGCAACTTTAAAGCAATGAGTTACTGCATCAACGGTAAAATTCACATTTGTACAATAAAAAGCTGTTTCTAATGAAGTTTATCTCAAGATAGTTCTTCTTTCGAGATAACATTGCATTCAAAAACACTTGCTTGACTGCACAGTAAAATCTTTCGCATAAAACGTTAAATTTTTCTAAAAAGAACGAAAAACCTGGTGCTGCTGATACTGCGGTAATCGACCAATTCCATCATTTGTTTGCTGATCTCGGAATGAAGGAGAGGAAGTACTCGGTATTCCATACTGGTGTAACTAAACTTGTTCCCAAATTAAGGTGTTTGCAAGTTAAAAAAAATATGGTCTTGAAAAATAATCATATCACATCAACGAAATATTTACATTTTTGAAATATTGCTTTTGAGAAGCCTTAACACTGAGCAAATTTACGGGTAAATGCTTTTTAACAAATCGAATTCAAAAAAGTTTTATAAATACAATCACTATTTCTGAATGCCTTATAGTTACTTTTAAAGAAAAAGCCAAACTAACTAGAGATACCATTAAGATTAAGAGATCACAGAGGATACATGTTTAATACCCAAAATTTTTAGTGCCCATATATCCCTCTTAAAATACACAAGACGTATAATGAACACAATTCTTCCAAAGATTAACTTACTAAATTAAAATTAAAGTCTAGTAACGTAGCATAGCCTGCTTGAAATGAAGTAGTAAAAATACAAAAAAAAAAAAAAACTTCAATAGAAAATTGACTGACTTGTTGCGCCTGAATGTAGGGTTCAGTATTATAAGTAAATGCATAAGCTGATGATGAGAAACCAAGATGTCCATGTTGCTGTAGTTGACCGTGCTGCTGCGGATTACTTACTTGATGCGAGACTACGCTTCTCAACTGTATGTTCTGCAAGATTTTACATAATTCACTTTCAACGGCTCAAAATGGAAGACAATCAGTGTTTAATGTAATGAAAAGTTCAAGTTTATTAAAATGTTTAGTTAAAACAAGGATGGTCAAACTAACAAAAAACGTTCGATGCGTTGGAATTTAACTAGTATGAAAAGAGGATGAATGAAACCATATTTCTTTAAAAAAAGAATACTCTAAAGATACCACATGGTACAGGTTATTTAAAGCACCATTTATCTACAGCTCAAACTAGTCGCAAATCCCGCTGGTAAGAAACAATAAATTCAGCGTTGTAATGTTATAAGAAAATTTCAAAAAATAGTCCAATATTCAAAATCAGTTCTTAAAAGAGTTTCTGATTTCTAAGATTAGCTGCAAAAAATAAAATTTTAAATTGCTAATTGTGGAAGCAAACCCGGGATCTACCTTCACTTAGAAGCTTAGTAGATTAAGCGACGAAAGTTGAAAGTTGAAAGTTGGCATTTAGGTAAAAAGGTCAACATCTTGCAGTTCGTACGCTTCACAAAAAATATAATTTAAATTACTCCTCATATGCATAAAAACACCTTTGATATAAAACCAAGAAAACAGGTTCTGTTAGTGTCGCAGTTCTAGTTATGATAGTAATATACTGAAGACTGCCCTTACTTTCCATAATTTATCTAGTTCAAGAGTTTTCATGGCCCTATAGTGATCCCCATTAAAAAAAATTTTTTTAGTGTGCCTTATGCCATCTCGCATCTTTCATTACTGATAAACTTAGCAGGTTCAGTGGTATTTGTATTTCATGCAAAAAGTGGAAATTTCTTGAAACGGCCTGCATTTCAACGCAGTTTATAGTGTTCTACTATTTTTCTATGCTTTTTCCAATAATTAATAGGTTGGCAGATGCAGTAATAATTTTACTGCATATTAATTCCTCTATCTGTAGTTTGATTTTAGTTAAGGTCATTAAAAAAACTGACAATAAAAAAAGCCGTTACATACTTGCTCTACTAACAAATTAAAATCAAATAAAAATAAATAAATAAATAAACGAATAGATAAAATAAAGTAAAATAAAAATGCAAATGAAAATAAAAAACAAAAGTTAAATTAGTTTGAATAAACAGGTTTTCTCGTTTCTCAAAAAATACCAAATTTTTAATTTCAAAATGACGTTTTTGAAAATGCTGATTTAAAGTTTGCTGAGAACAAAAGTCGGAGTTTTATTTCAGGCGAACAAGAAAACACTCAAAGACGTTGATGAAAACTAAATGAGTAAGACAGGGAGAGACTGAACAATACAGAAAAAGTTGCAAAGAAAAGAAAAAGGCAGCCGAAAACAACACAGAAAAAGAGGATTTTTTTAGGAGGATTGAAGGGTATTCAATTAAGGTCAGGAGAGGAATTTTGCATACCCCTTGCAATGGAAATTTTTATCGCCTCTTAAATATTTTTATTTATTTCTTCTTTTCAAACAAATTGCGGTAATCTTTAATTAGTCAACTACGAAATCCTCTACAGAAGCGATTTAATTCCAATAATTTCATCCTTCCTCTCCTTCACCTCTTTCTTTCATTCTCCGAGTTTCCACTGCAAATTTCTAATCAGAAAAAAGGATGAGTTTTGCACTAAAAACTAAAAAAATCTTTAGCAAAAAAAATAAAATAAAATAAAAAACAAACTGTAAAAGAAAATACAAAAATTATTACCCACCAAACTGCTTTTTACTATACAATCACTAGTAACTTTTGTTTTTTGTTCAAAAGAAGTGAAAAATTTAAAACACATTCCCAAAAATTAAAAAAATAAAACAAAACAAAAAATAAAAACAAAAACATCAGCAAAGGCACTTCCAGAAATATATGACTTATCTAAAGAACCAGCTTGGTAAACCATTCACAGTTATAACACCCCAAATTTTTTGCCGAATCAAACCCAACCTGTTAAACTTCCCGTCCTGCTTTTGTGGCAAAAAGAAAAAAACGCTATTACAATTACTTCTTCAAGATTTATCTGCCAGAAAGCAAGCAGTAACCATTTAGGAAGACAGAATTTCGTCAAGCCCAAAAATTAAAATCTCATTCTTAAAATTTTCACTTGAATGCTCTTTGAAAAACTCTTTGAAAAAAAGAGAAACAGAAACTTGCCTGATATTACCGAATTTTTATTTTTTTTGCTGTACCTTTATAAACTATTAGCAAGAAAAAAAGATTTGTAACCAGTAACTAAGTTATAAAAATTTGGTTGAGAAAACGGATGGGTTTAAATGTTTCTAGAATAACAATTTGAATAATTTTTCTCGTATGTGACAAAAAAAAAAAAAA